TCCAAGTCTAAATCCTCATTGTATCATGAGACCTCTGAGTCAACTTTTCACCTTAGTAGAATGTCTGACTGCATTAGTATTTTCATGAATCACTTACCTACCTCTCCTCAAATAGAAGAAAGTATTTTGTGATAGCATAATTTAAATTGATTACAAACATTTTAACTGCTTGTTTCATTCCATGAAAAAACATTAGTCACAAACAATAATTTGCTCTGGAAACTGACTATAGAAGGGATTGCTCCTGGTCAGCAGAAGGTTCATGTGATTCCCACCTATTGTTGATCCTGAGGTCTCTAACATACACAACAAGGGGTTTCAGTGATCTCTGCATGTCACCCCTTACAGCCCTTCAAACATGTTCTGGGATAACTGGTTCTTTCCTCCTGAGGCTAGTTTTGGGCAGCAGGCGACAGAGGCAGAGCTGAGCAGGTTGGTGGATTTGCTCTGAACTTGAGCTGATTGCATCTCCAAGTCAGCAAAGTCAGGTGATTGCTGAGGCTTCTTTCCCTGTGGGCATGGACATTGGGGATCAATTAGAGGGGATGGAGGACATGTAAAGCTCCTGAAGGAAGGCTCTGCACACCAGGTGGAGCAGCTGTCCTTCTCTCCCGCTGTGGAACCCCAGGAAGTGTGACAGGTCTCTTTGTTCTCACTTGAACAAGGTAATAGCAAAGGAGGATGTTTGAGCAAAATGGTAACATAGGGGACACTGCAAAAGGGTGAAAGGCTCTGTGATTCAGCCTAAGGGAGTGCCATCAGTGGGGGTGGTCAATGCTAAATGTGTTCTAATGATTCCTTCGTCGTTGGTGCCTTTGGCTTCTTGTGCCAGAAGAGATTGGTGACATCCAGGGCTGCTGCTCAGAGGCAGAACCTAGTTGCTTAGCCTGGCAGTCTGGAACATGGCTTGGGGTTTTAATATTTTAAGGAACTCAATGAACTTTCAGCAATGAATGTCATAATTATAAAATTACTTCTCTCAAATAAAAACTCAGAACCTCAGACAAGGTAAGATCATGTGATATTATTGAATCGAGTTAAGTTTGGGTCAGGTTTATCTAAGGGGGACATTCTGGAGGCTTGTTTTTTCTAGGGTCAGGACACACTTTCTGCTGTTAAAGGATGGGCAGTTCCACAGCAAATTGGAAAAGCTAAGGTTAAGCTTCAACTTAAATGTAGGTGATAGGTACTTGTTAAAATTCAACAATGTGCTTCTCTCAGGGGGGTTGACCGTAATTGAGACAGTCAATGCCTCTGGGCATGAGTTTCCTCCATTTTTGAGGTATGAAAGGAAAAGGGGAGGTGGATACAGCTTCAGGCCCTACTGTGTGTTGAACACACAGAGCTCGCTTACTCTCTCCACAGCTCCCACTTGGGGATGCTGGAAATGAGTTGGGTAAAGTTCAGGCAGCTTGCTCATTGGTCTTGCTCATTGGTGACTGGCTGCGATGTTTTTAAAACTGCATTACTCTTAATACTTGGAAGATAAACCAAAGTCCTACACTTGTTACACTATATGTCCTGGTGAAATGAGGGTCCTTAAACTATATATTTGAGCCATGTGCTTTGTAAGATGGTCAAGGGAGACTCTCATCTTAGACCCACCTTGAAATCCCAGGAACTGTATTCTCCAAGTTATATTGTAACCAAGAGGGTTGTGTTTCATGTAATTCTATCGCAAAAAGTAACACCTCAACCCAATAAGGAATGAATAGATCCCCATGTCTAATTCCAAAGCCCCAGATCCTAAAAAATTCAGGTCCAAAGTGAATTATGGGATCTTGATGGAACTCTTCTCATTCATACTTGACAACATAAATATTTTCAATTTAGAAAAAATAGTTTTTCTGGTAACTAATATCAATCTATTTTATGATACTCCGAAGTCTAGTCTATGTAAGAAAGAATCTAATATAAACATAGCCTACCTTTAAAATGACTAGCCCATGGAAGACATAAACTTAAAGCAAGAGTGTGTTCAGGGATTGGTCCTATCAGACTGTTGGCACCTTCCTTTTTCTCAATTTAAAATCAAACAAAGGAATAGGAAAGAAACTCAAGACTCTGCCATGCCCTTATTTCTAGGGTGTGGATGCCAAAAAATGATTTATAAAATGACCTAGTCACATTTTGTTAGTTTGAAATATTTTACAAATCAGCAGATTTGCTAAGAGCCTATTATGCAATAGCCCCTGGTGTAAGAGATAGATACAGAGGACTCAGTGGGTCCCACAATGTCCCTAAGCAGCACCCAGCTGTGCTGATGTGCCCAGGCCTCAGGGTTCTCTTGCATGCTTGGCTTCCTTTGTTAAACCCAGAGTAGCCCCAGCTATCCTCATTGCCCACTGCCCACTATCTGCCCTGGGCTCCTCCTCTCAGCTCTTTCCTCAACCAGAGCCTCCTGTGTGAGCTCCAGAAGGGGACTAGACCCCATGCCACACCCACTGGCCTCTCACTGGTCCAGAGCAGCGTCTGAGTCCTCACTCCTCCCTATACACTTGCCCTGGGGCCTGAGCTTCCAGAGCCCTCTTGTCCCTGATGCTGCCCTGATGACCCAGGCATGATCCCCCAGGGCTGGTCCTGCTCCTCAGTCTGTGCAGAGTGGTCCAGAGCCTGAAGGACCCAGCAGCACCTCCTTGGAGTGGTTTTCAGTGCTGCTGCCCAGCTGTCCCTCTGTCCTTCCTCCCTGCTCTATGGTTCTTGCTGTCACTAATGTCCACACGGCTCACAGCATGTATCTGAGCTGCTGCTCTGTTGTTTGTATCACCTACTAAATATGAGCTCCAGAGTGTGGAATGTTGTCTATTTTAACCACTAGAGCAAGATAATATGCAGCAGCAGTGCCCCCAAATGGAAACTTAATTTGAAGGAATGGATGCATTGTGAAGACGCCTTGCAGTTATCTTTTCCTATGATGTCATTGGTTTTTATCTCTAAGTCATTCAGCACACAGCTGCCTGGGACCCCACCTCTCCTGCTACCCGGTGACCTTGTGGTTCTACTATAGTCCTCTCCATGCAGGTTTTCACTGTCATATTTTGTCAACTAGCTAGTTCTAATAATGTATTGCTACTTTTTATGATAAGCTCTCTTGCACAGTTTTTTCATGATTACCACAGTTATATGAAGCAATAATTGTTTTGTTACTAAATGTGAATTTTTATAATAAAGAATCTATAATTGTTCTATTTTATGAAAAATTAGCAACACAATCTGGTTACCCAGTGGATATCTGTTACAGGATGGGACATCAGCATTTCAGTCAGAAGAGCACAAATATATAAAGTAGAAAATCCCATACTGACACAAGATGAGAGAAGATGGAAATCACATATGCTGGGAACTTAAGAAATGATGCAATCACAGTGTTGCATACTTGGGAGAATGAAAAACAAATTGCCAGAATTGAGATGACTTAAATTGGAAAGGATGGTACAAAGAGCTGAATGACAGATATAAGTTCCCAATTAAAGGCCTGGGCATATTAAGTCAGAAAAAAAAATTATCTAGGAAGGAAAGTTAATCATTAATTTCTGATTTTGATTTCTTTACTGTGAATGTTGACATCTATTTTATGTTGCTTTACTTAAATAAGTTCCTCTGAACAGGGCAACCACCTGTCTAAACTATAGTCTGGAAGCCACCTCTGCTCACATTCCCTCCTAGGTGAACAGCTCAGCAGCAGAGTCACCTCCTGCCTAAACCTGGTGAAACTAAACCACTGGACAGGAAGGGAAATGAACATTCTCTCCAAGGTCTACATGCCTGACCTAGCCTGGAGTACGGAGGAGAGCAATATTTATATAAACTGATCGAATGGCTCTTGCACACATGGTAAAGCATTTAATAAACCCCTAGTATACAATTACAAACATGAAGTGGGCACACAGACTCGAAATCTGATCCTGAGCAAAATTTTATTTGAAAACACTATTATGCCCATCAATGAATTCTACTGGCAATTTATGGAAAATGAAGACATTAAGACTTAAATATAGAACTTGGAGTACACAGATTGTGATGAATGAAGTACTGTGAATGAAGGTAGGGCATCTCAAAGATTCACCTAAAAACAGAAAGAATATCTGAGTGTTTGATTCTGTTTTTCATACTTACATTACATGTCCATTATCACACTAGTTCTAGATGGCTGCTGGGAAAGATAGGGTGAAAACCTTGCATAATATTTCATCTCAATCATTTACGATTTGTTTCTATGAAAAAAAGAAAAAAATGTGTATAAATATCTATGTGTTTGATTTTGAGATTGTGGGGATTCAAAAATGAAAATTTCACCAGGAAAGAGAAACTGGCCAAAGAGCACTTATGTTATTAATGATATTATATAATACCTATAATACCTTAATGTTCCAGAAGAATGTTTTTGGATGGAGGCCCACTTTGAGGGCCAGCAGAGCAGCTTCTGTTTAGGAGGTGAGCAGCACAGCTCTGAGAGAAGACCCTGCTTACTCAGCTGCAGCAGTGCCAGTGGGGAGGGGAGAGCAGGCACTAAAGGTGTGGAGTAGGCGAGGTCACTGAGGATGCAGACTCAAGCACACAGGGCACTTCTGCGCCCCACAGGCCATGTCTGTGGTGAACCTGAGTGCTGAGTTGGGGGGCAGGGAAAGCAGGATCCTGGCTTCCTCTGGGGCTGAGCCTGGTGCATAGTCCTAGGAATGCTCTTGCCAGGAGTCAGCAAGCAGGAAGGCTCCAGCTACCTCATTGGGTTTGACACAAGTGGTACTCGAGTTTATATATTAAGACTTTACATCTGTCTATGACCTGCTGAAGTGATTACATGAGAGAACTGGGCAGGAACATGGAAATCAAGTCTTAAAAGCAATTTAACAAAGGCTAAGGTATTGAAGGAAAAATAATTCATTTTAAAAAACACTAATAAAACCAATGCCTTTTTATTCCACTTTTATGTTTTATTTAATCTTTAGTCATTTGTTTCTATTTTTGTTTTTCTTTGAAGGAAAGTAATGCAGTACAATTTCATGGAGAAATGGAACCAAACTTCAAATGACTTTATTTTGTTGGGGTTGTTACCCCCAAATCAGAAAGGCCTACTTCTCTTGCTCCTGATCATCTTTGTGTTTGTTCTCGCCTGTTTGGGGAACTCAGGGATGACTGCCCTCATCTTCTTGGATCCCCGGCTCCACACCCCCATGTACTTTCTCCTTAGCCAGCTCTCCCTCATGGACCTTATGTACATCTCCTCCACTGTCCCTAAGATGGCCTTCAACTTCCTCTCTGGCCAGATGAGCATCTCCTTCCTGGGGTGTGCCATGCAGTTCTTTTTCTTTGCCACCATGGCATGTTCTGAAGGCTTACTTCTGGCCTCCATGGCCTATGACCGCTTTGTGGCCATCTGTCACCCCCTCCACTACCCTGTCCGCATGAGTAAAAGGGTATGTTTGAAGATGATCCTGGGGTCCTGGACACTGGGCTCCATCAACTCTGTGTCACACACCACCTATACCCTTCATCTTCCTTATTGCAGGTCTAGGGCCATCAATCATTTCTACTGTGACATTACAGCCATGGTGCCTTTAGCCTGTGCAGATATCTCGGTCTACGAGTACATGATTTTTTTTAGTACAGTCATATTTCTTCTCCTCCCTTTCCTTGGCATCATGGCCTCCTATGGACGGGTCCTTTTTGCTGTCTTCCACATGCGCTCAAAAGAGGGGAGGAAAAAGGCTTTCACCACGTGCTCCACACATTTAACTGTGGTGATATTTTACTATGCTCCTTTTGCCTTCACTTATCTCCAGCCCAAGACTCTCCGCTCACCTGAAGAAGATAAGAACATGGCTGTCTTCTACACCATCCTCACTCCCATGCTCAATCCCATCATCTACAGCCTGAGGAACAAGGAGGTGCTGGGGGCCATGAGAAGAGTGTATGGGATGTTCTCCTCCAGGAAGAAATGAGCAGGGCTGTCCCTGCTCCTCAATATTTCCTCCTTCCATTCAAACTAAGACCTAGAGCTGCAATGACCAAGCTAAATGTAAGATATAGAGTCATAGCTTTTGTTGGACACACTTCAATGTGAAATTAATTTACAATATAATGATCATCACATATAACCATTTGTAAGGATTATTAATATATTAATTAGTTGAAAACATAAATAATTTAAAATTAACTGTTGTAATTAATTCTGGTATTTATAGTTTGTTATTATAACACATTGTTTGTTCCAATAGTATTATTAATGTAGTAAAACTTGTACTGATATTTACACGTTTTCATTTCTGTGAATTTATTATGAAAATATCACTTTTATTGTTGTCATTCTAAGTTGTCCACCCGTGTGTGCATTTTAAATTCATGGTACATAGCAAAGGACAGAAAATGCATTTCAAGTGTCTACTGCCATATGGGGCTGGTATTTCCAAAGTTCAGGACCTCTGTCAGGAACTGAAGGGGAAGGAGAGCCTCTGTGTGCATCACATGGCAGTGGGCATGACTAAAGTATTCTCTCACTCCAGAGGACCTACTGGTGAAGAATTTCAGAGTCATTTCTGAGTGCCTTAAAGTTTTCCATATTTGCTGGTAATAAAAAGTTCTTAGCATGAAAAGTTACACTCTCTCTGATCTTTGAAGGAAAGTCAATCAATCAATCAATTTTATTGATTGCAAATCAATCAATCATAGAAACAAAAAAAGAGATGGACCTTCAAACAAGGCTTTTTCTCTGGGAATGAAGAATAGGTTCGTAATACAGGGCACTGTTCACAGGTTGGAGGGACTCCGCTATGTCTGGAAAAAGGGGGAAAGGAGGAAGGGCTCATTAGGAAGAGGAATGTTCCTGAGTCATGGTGGGAGCAGGCAAGCTCTGAAAGTTAAGTCTAGCAGCTGTTTCGTAAAATTAGTCTTAAGGTCACATTTTGCAGTTCCATCAAAACCTGCTGAGAACAACAAATGTAGTCATGAAGATAAACTGCTGGGCAGTTTGTGAAGCAGTTGTTTGTGATATTAGACTATCTTAGATCAGTCTTATCAGATTGCTTTTCTTTGTGTGCATGTTAAAATACACAAATAGGCACTATAAGCAAGAGGGGCTTGAGTGTGAGTCCATCACTGACATTGCAGGGCATAATGCTCCAGGTTGGCTCCCTAGCAAACGATGTTCAGAGAGATGCCAGGGTTCCCCAAGGCATGGTTGTTTCAGAGTGGACTACATTCCTGATTCCTTCTACTATTCACTGTCCGGAAGGAGGACAGGGCCTACACTAAACACTTTCACTTAATTTGCTCAGTATTTCTTAGGTCCTTTCCAAAGGAGAGCAACTGACAAGAACAGAAGAAACTGTACCTCAATCTGCTTTAACAGGATGTTTTAAACTAACTTATAAGTGACATAGTCCATTGCTCATGACCCTGGAACCCGGGAAGCTCAGGATCATGAGGCCTGCAGATTCAGTGTGTGGTGCGGACCGTGTCCTGATTAACCCTGGTGACTTCTCCTGTGTCCTCTAAAAAGTTCATATTTGGTGCTTCTGAGGCTTCTGAGGACAACTGAGCTGATAGGAGCCCACAAAGGAGAGGTGAAAGGAAGAAATGAGCTCCCTGTCAAAACAGGAGGGAATAGACTAGAGAAGGGACACTTCCTGCTCTGTCAGTGGAAACAAGGCTGCGTACCTGGGCCCAGAGTGAAGGAGACCAGTGACTTAGTGCAAGAGATCTGACTTTTGACTGTTGGTGTTTTCCTAACAACATTTTTCTTTTCCAAGCTTAGTTAAAGGAATGTAGAAGGCTGTTGGAGCTTGGTCAAGGCAAGCATTGCTAGATTTGGAGATTAAGAACACATAGTGACATCCAAAGGGAAAAATGGAGAGTTGTGTCCATCAAACTGAGCTCAGACCTGTCACTGTGGCTTGCAGTCCTCTCCAGCAACGTTTCATCCTGCCAAATGGACTTGACTGGCTGCAGGCTGGAGGTGGAGTTTAGCTGGCAGTTCTGCAGGCATATGCAATGGGAACCACTCTGAGCAAGGGGGCGGGGGAGAGAATGTATCCACAAAGATGAACAGCAATGGTAAAATATCTCTTTACAACTGATCCTCTAATGAGATTTAAAGCGGGGATAGTTCCATTACATGGGTAAAGTGTTTACAAAGTCCTATTTCATTAAACAATATTCTGCCATCACTTCCTAGCACAGGAATCTCCATGTCACAGATAAATGCCCGAGATAACATGAAATGTACACTTACATTGTTCCCAAATCTGAGGTTTTGTAAGATAATAAGAAATCCTCATTTTCATTAATTTCCACCCCTGCAAAAGATACTTGGCAGTCTTGTTAGTCTAATTAATCTTTCAGATAGTTCTTCAGTTAGTCTTATGTAATTTCCTAGCTTAGTTTCCCAGTCGGGGGTAAAGTTGGCAGTCTAGATTGTCTCTGAGCCCAAATCCTATTATTATCCCAGGACCTGTGTGTCAACTTTTCACTTTAGCCAAATCAGGGTATTTGTTCATAGCATAATTTAGTTTAGTCATGAATGCAAATTTTCCTTTGGGAACTGACAAGGCAATAAAAGGTAATTATCCCTTCTTCTAATATTGCTGTTATTCAACTGAGCACTCATAATTAATTTCTGCGTCTTCTTGATCCTATGTTCTCCAACTTATGCAAAGAGGGGATTTCAGAAATCACTACCTAGTATCCTTTACAGCTCTGCAATCACATTCTGGAGTAAGTGCTTACAACCCTGTAGAAATTAATTCTGGGTACAAAGACAGTGGCTCAAAATTCAATGAGTTGGTTGATATGTCCGAACTTAAACTGGAGTTGATCAGGCTAAAAAAATCAAGGATTCTCTTTTCTTGGGCTTGGGGATCAATTAGAGGAGAAAAAAAGGACATCTAAGAATTGACAGAAGAATATCATATGCATTAGCTTTTCCTATCCCTCTTATATAATCTAAGGAAGTAAGTGTGTCATTTCTATCTGTTTTCACTTGAACAAGATAATAGCAAAAGAAGATGTGTGAGCAAAGCAAAGGGAACACTGCACAAGGTGAAGAGCTTTGTGATTTCAGCATAAAGACAGTGGTAGAGGTGGGAGCAGTGAGTGCTCAATGTGTTGTGAGTGTCCCTTCCTGCTACCTGTGGTTTCTCTGCTCGGGAAGGCTTGGTGAGATTCAGGGCTGCTGTCCAGTGGCAGGACCAAGATGCTTAGCCTGGTTGACTATGAACATGGCCTTAGGTTTAAATATTTTAAATAGTTCAATGGACTCTCAGGAGGGGATCTTGTTGTTATAAAACTACATCTCCCACAATAAAAACTTCAGAACTCCAGACAATGTGAGTTGCGATGATACTATTGATCTCAGTTGATTTGGGTTAGCGTTAACTCAGGTTGATATTTTATTTTAGAGATGTGGTTTTTCTTTCATGAGGAAACACTTTATGTTGCACTCAGACACACACACACACACACACACACACACACACACACACATGCAATACTATAGTAAACCAGAAAGAATATGAGTAAACTTAATGTAAAATGAGGCTATGTAAACCTGGTGAAATTCCATGTGATGTGATCTTGAAATCATGAATTTCTCTGGGCTTGAGTGTCCTCAGTGTTTAATGTATGAGAGGAAGTGAAGGGATGGACACACAGTCAGCCCCTCTATGTGCTACACACAAAGTTCATTCAATTTCATCTTCTCAGCTCTCATATGAAACTGTTGGGACTGAGTTAGCTGAGGCTCAGAGGAAAAAATTACTTATAGGTCTTGGGCTGATTATCTACAACACTTCTAAAAGTGTGCATTACGGGCTGGGGATATAGCTCAGTTGGTAGAGTGCTTGTCTCACATGTATGAGGCCCTGGGTTTAATCCACAGCACCAGAAAAAAAATAAAGTATGCATTTCTTGTGACTTTACCAAGATAAACTTAGCTTTCTACATTTGCTGCATCTACATGTATTAGGCCCTTTCCGGTGAGTTTCTTCACTTTCTGTATTTGAGCAGTGTGTCTTGTAGGATAATGAAGGGAGAGATTAAACTTCAACCTGGCTTATAGGAACAGGAAGGATATTATGCAAGAAATACAGTAGCCAAGAGCAGGTGTATTATGTAATTCTGGGGTATGGAATAAAATTCCATGCATGATTAAGTAAGCCACTGGTAATCAATGAAATTTGACCCTCATGTCTAATTCCAATGACCCAGATCCTAGAAGCTTAGACTCACAGATGTATGTGCCCTGAGATGATCTCAACTGTTGCCTGAAATGTGAGAGTTTAAATTTAGAAAAAAAAATTATTCTAGTAAACTACCATCAAAATTTCTTAATAATATTCTGAGTTGTAATGTATACAGTAGATAGTCTAAATGTAAGCACAGGTGTCTCTTCAAAATGAGGCATAAATTTATAGCATACTAAGTATTCAGGGTTGGCACTGCCAGGGCTATTGGCTTCTGTCTGCCTCTTAAGTTAAACTTGGACCAACCAAAGGAGTGGAGAAAGTCTCTGAGAGACGCTCATGCATACTTTTCAGGGTCTATAGGCTAAAGAAGGACTGATAACACTAGTCACATTTTCTCAGTTTGGTCTATATTCTGACTTACATCTGACGCTAATATTTGGTTCAGTTAATCCACAGATCTGCTAAGAGCCTACGGTGAAATAGTTCCTGAGCCAGGGGGCAGAGACAAAGGACTCAATGGGTCCCACCCTTTCCCTAAGCAGCACCCAACTGTAGTGATGTGCCCCGGCCTCAGGGGTCCCTGGCATGCTTGGCTTCCTTTGCTAAACCCAGGGTAACCCCAGCTGTCCTCATTGCCCACTGCCCCGTCTCTGGGCTCCTCCTCTCAGCTCTCTCCTCAACCAGAGCCTCCTGTGTGAGCTCCAGAAGGGGACCTGATCCCATGCCATACCCACTGGCCTCTCACCTGCTCCAGAGCAGAG